TTCCATCACTAGCATTCCTTACCTGATCAAAAGCCTGATCAATGCTGTCCTGCAGGTGCTCTGTGAACCTGTCATTGACATCAATGAGCTCTTGAACGTTGCCGAAGACCACGGCCAGCTGCTCTGCTGTGAGCAGCCCTGCACTCTGCATGGGGCAGTAAAACTCTTCCTTGATGATGCGCAGGTCCTCTCCATAACTCGACTCAGTGTTGAGAAACTCTAGGATGGCCTCTTTGCGCTCTGTGCGTAGCTTGGAGCAGCGTTCACACATGCCTTCCTCGCGGACCCCCTCTTTGTGTCCACAGTCGGGACAGGGCTGCTGAGCGTCCCAGGCCCTGAGGAACGGTGAGGGTCTCCTCCAGCCCCGAGCCAGTCCAGGGCCGATGCCGCTGTCCGCACGTTCTACCTCAGCTCCGGCACTGTGGCGGGGGCGACGGGGCTCTTCCTCATCTTCACGCTCATCGCTCAAGCCCACGACACCGCGTAAAACAAAAAGAGACCAGAAAAACCAGCAAAAATTCACTTAAATATTTGAATAGGTGTTTTGAACTTTAAAACATCCCCATGAATTTACACTGAGTATAAAAAAAAAGTTAAATACTGTTAGGGTACACTACCATTCGAAAGTTTGGGTTCAGTAAGATCTTTGAATGTTTTTAAAGGAAGTGAGACAGCAAAAAACTGTAAAACTTACTCCAGTCTTCAGTGTCACACGATCCTTCAGAAATCATTCTAATATGCTGATTTGCTGCTCAAACATTTCTTATTATTATCAATGTTGAAAACATTTGTGCTTCTTAGTATTTCTGTGGAAACCGTGATACATTTTTTATGTGTTGCTGTTCAAGTGAACAGCATTTATTTTGAATTATTTTGTAAAAATCTCTTTACTGGCATTTTCCTTCATTTAATGTATCCTTGCAGAGTAAAAATATTAATTTCTTTCATTAAAAAAAAAAAAAAAAACTTTATGACCCCAAGCTTTTGAACGGTAGTGTAAATAGCAACAAATAGCTTCTTGTTTACACTAACTGGTAAAATACCTGATAAATGGTAAATAGAAACCGCCAAATTATCATGTTATAATAACTGAAATGACATATATGATAATAAATCAATACTTTTTTAAATCTATACTTAAAAAAGAAAATTAAGAAAGTTCCTTTTTAAATCTTCTATAACAAATTATCATGTTTGAAATAGAATAACATAACTGCTCATAATAACAAGGACTGTGCTCTGCCATAATCTATCACTATTTCTTTAGTGCTACATGTTAAGTAAAATAGCCAGAAACAATTAAATATTTTAATGTTTGGTAATACCAATATATTTAAAAACAACAAATAATGGAAAATATCCAATACGGTGCTGATACAGTATACTGTGCACCCCTAATTTGATACTAGATATGTATTTGCCTTTACATCTAAAAACTGCTGTGGTGCAGAAAGATAAAAGCAGTCCTCAGGGTAGAGGTCATGCATGTGACGAATCTACAGTAAAAGCCACCTAAGGCTCATAATAACAACTAAAGTGATACCCTTGGGTTATAGACAAGCAAGCCTAAACATTTTTTAAATGAAGCATTGTCAGTACAAATCTAGGACACGAGTTAAGATTACTTACAGCAAGAACTGTGAGCAAAGCTTAGTGCAGCTGAAAGAGTCTTACCACTGTCCCTGTCTCTGCGGTGAATGTGCAAACGTGCCGCGGCGGCGATCTTCATCTCTAACTGCTTACGCTTGGTGGCGTCTGCAGGCATGGGGTCGCTGTAGTGGGGCCGCAGGCGGCACTCACGCTGGGCCCTCACTGACTCAGCCAGTTCATAGGCCGCGTCCGAGCTGGAGCGTCTGCAGCCCGCCCCAGAAACCTGCTGATAGGATGGAGATCTGTCAATCAACAGTGCACATGGCAGAGCACTGGTCTGAAATATGTGTGTGTGTGTGTGTGTGTGTGTGTGTGTGTGTGTGTGAGGGGAGAGTTTAACAGTGTAAAACCTCAATGAAGGCAGATTTGATCCCTAAGCACATATGAGAATATGGAACCACTAACTGTTTCAGACATCGATCAGAGTCACTGCATTACCGTACATCCAGAGGGTGTAACAATACCAAAACATTTAATATATTGTGGTGGTAAGTGGAAAATTCTTTGCTGTGGCTTTTCATGCCCATTTACTGTTTATTAAAAAGTCTACTGACAGACTCCAAAGACATACAATTCATCTCTTTTCTAAATAGAAATAATTCGGAAACCCAGTTTCCTTTTAAAACTGGCCTGCCGGATGGTTTAAAGTCACTATTAATGGGACGGTTCATACATAATTCTGTAATCATTCACTCAACCCCATGTTTTCCCAAACCTGTATGACTTACTTTTTCTGTGGAACATAAAATATGACATTTTGAGAAAAGTCTCAGTGTTTTTTGTCCATAAAATGGTAGTCAATGGTAAACAAAATAGTTTACGCAGAACAAAGTCAGTCCTAATTTTCCTAAGGAAGTGCTTTCCTAACCCTTCCTAATCTTATTGTAAATAACATACCCCAAAAAATTGGGTCCCACTTTATATTAAAGTGAACCTAAACTGCTATGTACTTGCATTTAAATTAATCATTTGGTACAATGCACTTATTCTGTACATACATTATATTTAAAAAAAAAAAAAAAAAACACCTGCATGTAATTAAATCAGTAATTAATTTCTGTAATTACATTTATAATTACACTGTTGACCCACCCTTAAACCTACTCATACCACCAAACCTGTCCCTAACCTTACCCATATCCCACCTCAATAGCAGCAGAAGTGTTTTGCAATACAATATGAGCACAATAAGTACATTGTAGTTATTTTTTGATGTAAGTACATAGTAGTTAAGGCCCTTTAACATAAAGTATGACCAAAAATGTGTCTTTACAATATTTCACACTCCTCACACAACTGTCCTTTTTGGCTAAAATCACCAAGATCATCTATTTGAACAATCCCTGCAAATAGCTGTAATATTTTGTGTGCTCCAATAAAGTGTGAAAATCAAGTCAATCACTTTATTTTCCAGTCTAAATTTGTTTCACTCTTAACTCTGTCAGATATCAAATGTGTTGACTTTAAAGGCATTCACACTGACTACATCTGCCTCAACTGACTCAACTGATAACCTTTCACCTTTTAAACATCTGCAATTCCAAAACGACATTTCTAAGTCAGAAATATTGTGTTTCAAATGCATCTGCTATAAACACACATCTATGGCGTAAAACCCTCAAAAGGTCGCTCTCCAGCATTAGGTTCTCAAGTGTTAGCAATGCACGAGAAACAAGACACCGTGGCTTCAGGTGACGTACAGAATTATTAATAAGGCAGCTGTTATCTTAATTAAAGACACACAGAAATGCAGAGGCGGAAGAAGCATCTGTGCGCAATGGCTGACCAATGAATCATAGCAACATTACAAATGAATGCCAGCATTCCTCGATATCACCCTTAACCTTAAAAAACATACAGCCAGTCATATGGCGTGAATGAATGTGGCGCAATGAAGAGCTGGCTGGCATCTCAAGCAGCAGAGAGCATCAACACACAACCTGACATACAGTACAGAAGAAACGTAAGGCAGTTACCACCATGAAACCGGGTTCTAATCCTCCCTGCGTGTTGCTCTTAGCTGCGGCTCTGTGCGCTCCGCTGCATGTCTGCAGTCGCCTCTACCGTGCAGATTCCCCTGCAACCTCAGCTTCCCATGCACCCTGATCACATTCCCGTTGATGCATGACAGCCGCCGCTGTCCTCGTTCAGAGGTGATAATAAGCAGAGGTGTGCATGAGACGGCAGCATTCCTTACGCATTCTGTCGCTGCTTTCCCCAGTTGTCCCACGGGCTCTATGCAAGCCTCCTCTCCGCAGGCCGACGTTGTCATGGCAACTTGGGCAGACTGATGGCTGGGCTGGGGAGCGGTGATGTCAGTGACGTCATTCTGCTCACGAGACAATCGGACAGGAGACTCGGCTGCAATCTCTGCACTGCAGCTGGAGCAGCGAGGGAGAGAGAACACAAAGGGAGGAAAATGGGAGTGTTGAATTGGAATTACAAGTCCTGATTCTCCGCTCCTTCACGTGCCGTACAGTCAACCCCCATCCCCTAGAGAGGACCGATGCCCCCCAGACCAGAGGGGCTCACGGAGGACAGCAATTAGACGCATCAATTCACATTAACACCTGAACTCTTCGCTGCAGGGCTCCGAATCGGAAACAAGCACAATCAATCTTTTAGATTTCTTTGTGTGTGCGTCAAGTAGAAAAGGAGCTTATGTATCCGTGGATGACCCCACGCACTGCAGACGGTGAATAAATAACAGCACATAACAGAGATTTTTGGTGTAGTTTTTGTTGTTTTAAGCTTACATATTTTGCATTATTTGTTTTTTTTTTTCTTGTTATTCTCACTTAAACCAATTTTACATTGATGTTTTGGATTTACAAGAAAATATACTACTTGATTTCCCAATGGGGTAAAAAAAAGTATTATCTTATATTATTCTGCTTTAAAGGTAAATGTACATTACAAGTTTGGGGTAAGTAGATTTTTAGTTTTGAAAGAAATTATTACTTGTATTTAGCAAGGATGCATTAAATTGATAAAAGTGACATTTATAATGTTACAGAAAAATTCAATTTCAAATAAATACTGACCTTTTGTACTTTCTATTCATTAAAGAAGCCTGAAATGTATCACGGTTTCCACAAAAATATTAAGCAGCACAACTGTTTTCAACATTGATAATAATAAGAAATGTTGCTTGAGTACCAAATCAGCATAATCATTTCTGAATGATCATATGACTGGAGTAATGACTGCTGAAAATTCAACTTTGGCATCACAGTAATAAATTACTTTTAAAATATATTAAAATGTAAAACATTGTTGTTTTTTTTTGGTAATTCTTTTTATATATATTTTTTTAAATATTTTTATTACATTTTTTGATCAAATAAATGCAACCTTGGGGAGCATAAGATACTTTTTTAAACAACATTGCTGATCTCAAACATTTAAATGGTACTGTATCTAATTTTAAATATTTATTTATGGGCTTTTTATGCCTTTGTTTGGACAGGAAAGTATAGACAGGAAATCATTGGGTGGAGAGAGAGGGGAGCAGGATCGGCAAAGGACCACGAGACGGGATTCGAACTCGGGTTGCTGCGAGCTAAGTTGCGCTGTATGTCGGTGCACTAACGACAAGGCTATTGGCGCCGACACTGTATCTTATTTTAAAGATATTTAGATATTTTTACTGGAAAACAAGAAAAAATAGTGAAAAAGAACAGTTTTTTGCAATGTATCAAATCAAAGACATTTGTGAATGAATGCTAATGGCTGTGCATTGATTGTTGAATGAACAGACTTTTAAATATACTAATCAGCTGTTTGCCCCAGCCATTGTTTGTATACAGACGTCCCTTAGGATTAAAAAACAGGTGTTTTGAGTGATTAGTTATAAGCTCTTAATTGCCTCTTCCACATCATTTCCATCTCCTTTGATGCTTCAGTTCCTCAGAATCTGATAATGCTGCGCTCATCACTGTCATAAATTTGCATAGACGCCATCTGAGAATAGTGCTGACAGCACAGCCATGAGCTCTGAAGCATTCAAAAGAAAACACAAAGACAAAGAAGCTATGACATCTCACTAGGAAAAGGAGAATCACAAAATGCAGATGTTAATAGCTGGTGCGCGTCAAATATCAGTTTTAATTCTAACAATAAAATGTGGAAGAGTTCATTCACAAACCTGTAGCCGTGAACTGACAGTAATTAATATAACGCTCTAAAAGTGGCAATAAAACCAATGTCTTTCACACGTGAATGAAATTGTCATTAAAGCACTACAGATATATTACGTGTCATTTCAGCAGTCCTGTGTGTGGCCATTAATTGGATTTTTTATTTATTAAGATATATAAAGGTGTATAAAAACTCTTTTTCCACTGTACTGACAGGTTTTTATAATAGCACTTTTAGGATGATGTTCTATTATTTATTTAAAGGTTTTGTCCACCTATACTGACTCAAATCATCATCATCATCATCAAAAAAAAAAAACACATTAACACTATGATTTAAAAAAAATCATATCAGGACAATAAGCTCCCTTGAAATGTGCTCATCCATTCTAGGCAATAAGATAAAGTGACTGTAAGCTTAAATAAGAGCATTGCCTTGTGACTTGTTCTTCTTTCTTCTATCAAGCAGACAATAAATGAAAATAACTAAATAAAAGTCTCATTAAAAAGACCTGGAAGCCTCGGGCTGCTCTGTAGTAAATGAATACCCTCACTTGAGGCACTACGGGACAGCTGGGATATTGGATGTTATATTTAGACGGTTCCCAGCCTGGATTGAACTCCTGCCCTGGAGGATCATAACATTAGAGAAAGGCTCTGTAATGTCGAAAAGCTTCTGATGCACCAGCAATTAAGCTCTGTACTATGTCTGGAGCAAAAGTGTCTGAAGGAAAATCCATACAGATTTATGCATCCATGCTAAATTTGAGAAGACTGTCAGGGCTAGAGTTATGTTCTGTTATGTTAATCAAATTTCTGTCAGGTTCGCATATTTTAGGTTTGTGTGAGATTGTGCGTGTAAAACATGCTGTTGGTGGACAGGTGTGAACCAGACAACTGCCACAACACAACACAACCACAGAAGAATCCATATAATACAGTTACTGCCGTATAATACAGTTACTGAAGTAAATCAATGGGGAATTGATGGGGTTTGTTGCTATAGTATTTACTATAGTTTGTCTTTACTATAGTCTTTACCTTTGATTGTTGCTACTGCAAAAATCTGGTTCTTTATCTTTGTTTTCCAATAAAACAAAATACATTTACTTAAAGCTTTAACAAAATGCAATGAACTTTAACTTAAAACTACTACAAAAAAATGCTTTTGCAATTTTGCTTTTTAGGAATTTTTTTTTTTCCGGTTGTAATTTAGTACTGGAAAACAAGACGAAGATGATTAGGACAGGATATTTAATAGCATTTGCAATAGCCATGCTTTCCATTCTTAATATAGCTAAACCTGCTTATCACCATAGAATATGCCACTATATGCAAATATCACATCTGCTACTGTGTACTTGGCATAAAAGACATTAAGAATCACATCAATAATGATATATTCACTCTGTTTCTCTGTATACAAGCTGTGCAGAGATTCTGGAATAAATCAATAACACAAATACTGATGCAAACGATGCTAGAGCTGCTATGGGATTCATTTTCACAGTTAACAAGCAAAACTGATAACCAAGAGATACACTGTTCCAGATGATGCCCATTTTTCCCATTTAACCTCTGAATGATTGGGATGCACATTGCACAATAACAATGTGGTATCAAAATATTGGCTAATAGAGATGTTTATTTATTTATTAATTGGTAATGGTCAATATTGGATATATATTGATTGATATTTAATATGTTCCTCTATTTTTACATTTAAATTCCCTTTGCCATTATCCAGTTACGCTCAGTTAATCTTTAAAAACACTAATAATTTAATAACACCGCAATGTTAAATCTTTAGCATATTAATTTCCATTTTTTATTTTGTTCATTATAATATTGTGGTGCCTTAAACCACTTATACCATTTAAAACTATTGATTTACATTTTTCTTTTATTTATAATTAATTATAAAAATACAACTGAATTTTGATGTCCGACATTTGTCGGTTATCGGCCCAATTTTAATATCATGGGAGGCCCGGATTTGAATTCCCCTTGAATTCATATATATATATATATATATATCCCTTTTTAAACAATTCATCCATACATCCGTTTCATTTTCTGACCTCATAATTTTTAATTGATTTTAATCATTTAAAAAAAGAACATAACTCGATTTTCAGTGACATGACAGACTTCTTTTTGGTGGCATATTCAGGACTTCTCCAATCATTCAGTCCACTTAAATCCTGTCCCTTTCTTACCATCGTCTGCATGCTTGCATTCAGATCTGCCTCAATCCAATCAACAACCGATGGATAGAACCAAGACCAATTTTTTTTTTTTTTTTTTGATTTTTTTTACAGAAGAAATTATCTGTCACTACTTCCATAACAACTTTAAGTACTATGTGAATGCACAAGGCTAACACTACCAAGCACAACAGCTTCAACAACTCACCTTTTTTTAATAAGGTCCAGGGCGGATCCCAGGAAGCCATCCCTCATTTTGTAGATTTTGGCTCCATAGCTGGAAAGGTCAGTTCCGTCCAGAAGGATTGCCGGGCAGCAGCTGGATGGGCCATCGCCACTCTCCCTGCGGGGCGGGAAGGGGAGAACAGCTACATCTGTGGCCCCAGGGCCTGCTGGGCCCTTTGTCTCCTTGCCTCTTCCTGTAGCAGCTTGAGGGTGTAATGGAGAGCGAGCAACTGGGCCTGTGCAGATGGGTCCTCCTGGGACCTCTGCGGTGGAACTGGGCTCAGACGTCTCCGCTCCGCTGTGGTTCGAATCCTGAGCTGTGTTGACGTCAATGTCAGTCCTTTCAGCACTTTGCGTTTCCTCTGTCTGTATTCTTTCCTCTCTATGCTTGTCGTTACTCTCCATTTCAGAGGACCTGTGGTTTTTAATGCCCTCCTTTTGTCTCATTCTCTTAAACTCCTCAAATGTAGGTATGTGCAGGCGGCCCATCTGGGGTCTTTTCCTCTCAGGGGTCGACTGGGCAGAGTTAGTGCAGATGGGATCTGCCGTATGAGCTTTACTCATGGTACTAGACTCCTGTCTAGAGTTCAGTGTCAAGTTAGGGGTGCTTCGTTGCCTTCGGAGCTGCAGTCGTCGGAGTGCTTCCTGTTTGATCTCCTCGGGACTGGTGATGCGACGGGCACTCAACTCTTGCTGTACATTCCTGTGCAATGATGGCCGAACCGCTACGTCCTGATCGCACGGATACAGCGGAGAAGGTGCATTACCAAGCACAGGTTGAGGACGTAAGGGCTTGTGAGGCTCCGTCACACGTGTGCTCTGGAGCCGCAGCTTGTCTCGAAGACCCTTCCGAGCATTTCCGTTCATGCCCCAGTCCTCAACCGCAGGTAAAAGCCATTGTGGGAAAGGCGGTATATCCTTCCTCACCACTCCTTGGCGGCCGTAGATTTCCATGCCTTCATGGGAAGGCATTAAGCCGTAAACCTGCGGTCCCTGAGGAGGTCCGTCGTACCAGTGGCTGCTTGAAGTGCAGTGAAGTATAAGCTCACTGTCCACGCTCCTATAAGGATACGCATTGGGATCGGACACGGCAGCCCAGTGCAGGTTTTCCAGGCTGCGGTAAAGCCGGGTGCCGCCGGTGTTCACGTAGCCCTGTGGAAAGCACATCGCCCCGTAGCCAGACTGGCCATCAGGCTGTTTAAGGGGATGCATACTGCTGGTGGAGCAGTAGACCCCCAGGTTGCTGAGCAGGCCATTGTTGTTGTTGCAGTGGCCTGGAGCTACATCCTGGGCAGGGAAGGGGGGCACGCCATGATGAGGGAAAGCAGACAGTGGGGAGCTGAGGACGGACAGGTCCATGGACAAGTCCATGCTGCAGCCTGCAGGAGAGCCTGCTGGGGAGTACTCACATTGTGGGGCTTTCACATCCGGCATGGCCACAGAAATAGCTGCCATATTCCAGAAAGGAGCATCGGGATCACAGCCCTGCAGAAATGCACAGACAAGGCATTGACATCATGTCGGCAGAACAATTTTATATGCTTGAAATTGCTCTGCATCTAAACATCAGTAATTCACCAACGCCTGCTGTTTAAAAATGGTTTTGTGTAAAAATGAGAAAGTATGTGAGTGTCTTGTATAGACTTTTGTCAAATTCTGCCCACTATCACCTTTGCTCAAACTACTGTGAAAACGCTATACAAATAAATCAAACTAAAAAATAATTTTTATCAGGGTAATAAATTCAAACAATATTTGGTATCACTTTAGTATAGGGACCAATTCTCACTATTAACTATTTGCTTATTAGCATGCCTATTATTAACATATTGGCTGTTTTTAGTACTTATAAAGCATTTATTCTGCATGACCATATTCAACATTCTTAATCCTATTAGTAAGCAGCAAATTAGGACATTATTGAGGCAAAAGTCATAGTTAATGGTTAATAGCAAAGAATAGTTCATGGTTAATAGCGAGAATTGGACCTTAAAATAAAATGTGACCCAATATCCTAATTAGAAAAAGATACATCAGTACTATAAAGTAAACATTTTTGGCTTTTAATTTCTTTTGGCTTTAGTACAATCACATTAAAAAAATATAGCATTTTGAAAGATGTTATTTAACAACTTTTCTCACAGCATAAATGGGTCTTTATTGTTTATAATTGACTGCTGTGGAAAATATTAAGATTTTTTTTTAACTGGCATACTGTTTCTTCATGGTTTGGCCAAAATAAAAATAAATAACCAAAATGTGTAAGAAATATATTCCACTGATAATCTTTGGGTATATGTAAGCAATTGAGGATTTTAAAATACCAGATAAAATCTAAAATTACCTCAGGTTTCAAAATTAATCATGAGGATGTGCTACCGAGGATTAGTGCAGATGATTCTGAAAATGCAAAATTACTTCCTTGAAACATTGACTGTATGTAACATTTGCTAATGGCTTGAATGTAAGGGATTCTGTTGCTCACTTGTGTTAGCAACAACCCCACAAATAGCCCTCACTATCCCTATAAAAGTGCCCTAAAATTGTGCAAAAATGAAATTCACCCTACATTTCTCACATATTTAAAAACTGTACAAAGCTACCAATATTCCTCTTGCTGTTGCATACTAATCTAAATCACATCAAATGACCCTTCCAAAGACAAAACTAAGCTAAAGCTAAGTAACACAGTTCAATGACCACTACAGTAATTATAATGCTCATCATGCGTAGTTCCTATGACTTATATAATCAAATTCATATTCTAAAAATAGCTCATTCTTTTTTACAAATCAAATGGTGGGGGGGAGTTATGTCTGGTATTAAAAACATTAAACCGAGAGGGAGGAAAATCAGAAGGGACAGTAATGAAGAGAGCCACAACACTCGCCCGGGGCTCTTATTCCACTAATCAGATGAGAACTGTGGATTAGCAAGGAGAGCGCTTCTCTTTCAGTAATTAGTACAAATTGCCTTGCTTTGGGCCATATTAATATCCACCCGTAATCTTAAACAGAAATCAGGGTCAAGCCAGGAGTTACAAAAGAACATGTCACAATAATTCTGGGCAGCAGAGTCAGGACAAATCCATCTAGATGAATATTCATCTTCTTCACATTGCCTGTCAGAGAACGACAATGGCATTGCGATTAGATTAAAAAAGGCTGGAAACCAGCGATTTTATGTGGGGGAAGCCCAGCATGTTCAGGTGTTCAATTAACGTTTGGCCCAATTTAATTAAAATGGAGCTATTGAAACCCCTCTGGTTTTATCAGGCTAATTTCAATGCTCCATTTAGGAGATAAGAAGATCGAAACCCCCCTTTTTGTTTTTCTGTGAATTGTACAGTGGAGCGCTCGGGAGGATTTATCTTCGTGGGCGACTAGACTCACTGTCTCAATGGCGCTGCCAGTGTTTTCTTTCGCTTGCACTTGAAAACTGCTGACGTGTGAATAAACAGTCAATTAGCATAAGGAGCTTGTTTAATGAGCATGTGGCACAGGATCAGCTCACACCGGGCCCACTATGTCCTCTCTGTGTGTGACAGACAGGCAGATGCTCCGGTTCCTATTTGAGCAGAATTATTACGGACACAAGAAAGCAAGAGCACAGTCCCTCACTGAGGCAAGAGCTTCATACCAAGCCAAAATACACTCAGACTTGAGGATTCATGACAAACTAATCAGGTTTCCTGATTGATTTTACAATATGTACTTTATATATCTGGACTATACGGCTATACTTATATCTGTAGGCCTCTGCTAGAAAGTGTGTTAGAGAAACCTTTTAGGATTGCAATATGTTAGTCTTTTGTTGTGTTAGTCATAAAAACATACCCCATTTTAATCAACTCTGTGTGTGCACCTTTACTCGGCTTGCTTTAGGCTCTCATTCACAGGCTCTGAGCCAACAGAATCTCTTTTGGTTTGGATTAGAGGTAGACAAACCATCCACAACGCCAGACTGCTGAGACCTCAAGCACAGGCAGCTACAAAAGAAGAGAAAAAACATCAATACAGATATCCAAAAATAATACAAATCAATTTCTGGAACGAACAAAGGATCCTGCAGTATTTCTAAGGATTTTGTGTTTCTGTTTTCTCTGAGAAAATGCATTCGCTTTGACTGAGGAAATTTTGTTAAGAAGTCAAACACTGAATAAAACAGTCATCATTGGGGTTTCCCTTATATATACACACACACACACACACACACACACACACACACAAAACAAAACAAAAGAAAAATATTTATTTGGATTAAAGATATGATTAAACTTAATAATATTCTAGCTTTCTAAGAAAGCTTAGAAATTTTCTAAGAAAATTTTTGTGAGGAAATCAATTATAATAATAAGGATAACAATAATTGTTTATAATATTCATAAACAAATATTAACACACAACAAACTGTATTACAAAATTCATTCTCAAAATATTCCAAATTGCATGTACTTCGACCTCCTGTGATTCAAGACTCTGAAATTCAAGGCATGTTGTGGAGTTGGCTTTACAATTGTATCTCCTCTCACCTCAATATCAGCCAGAGACCTTCTGGAAATAGTTCAAGTTGTGATAGTGGCATGTCAGTGAATGCAGTTTCAATGATTTCTCATTACTGAGGAGGACACAGCTCGACCTCCACCAGGATGGAGTCAGGCTTCAGTCAATAAACACATTCAGTTGCTCTTCTACTCCATCGTACTAATCGCAAGAGCTCTTGGTGTTTGACGAATGTCTGTCAGTATGTGGTCCAGCTGCTCACTAACACGTCTCAGAGTAACAAAACCCTGAGGATTACAGCGGGACAGCCAAATAAGAAGAGGCACCTTTAGAGTTGTACTTGCGATATGCATGTACAAACATTCCATGCAGTCACTTTAGTATGATTTATGACTAAACGACTCTTATGAGCGGTTCTTTTAATGAATCGTTCAAAATTTTCTCTGAATAAACTCACTAATATAGCCAGCACACAAATACACACTAAACACCTTTGTATAAAGAAGTGACAATGCCTCATTATCACCTCATTTTGGCAACTCTGCCAGTTCAATCCCTTGAGTCTACAACCATAAAGAAAAAAACAAAAGAACTGTATCCACATCTATTCTCTGCAGGTGCTGCTTACACTTCCTACACCTACAAATGTGGAATTTTTATTCTTTTCCATCGAGCCGCTGCTGTAGTAAGGTTGCACACTGATCTATGAAGCCGGCTCCATAGGGAATCAAAGACTAAAAGGCCGCATATTGATTGTATCTGCAGGTTTGTGTGATAGCACAGCAGGGGTTTTTCTAGGTTTGGGGTGGTGGAAAGACATGGAGCGCAGATGGAGATTCACAGTATGATTATGCTGCAGAAGACTGACCTCATGATTGGTTGTTGAGATTGATCTATTTCATCTGAGGTCACAATGGCCACAGCGGCAGATATCAACCTATTTCTAACCACTGGATTTGTGCTTCCACGAAAAGGATTTTCAAGCTGTTTCCAGGAGCAATTTCAGTGAAAGAGGGGGTCGTATAAGTACACTGGTTTTGAAAATTGTTGAAATCTGCATGTTTGAGAAGAATATACAGTAAGCTTTAGTTGAAATTGAGATGGTTTACAGAGTGAATGTGGGTTGGATGTGCTCGGATTAGTACCTGTTGGCGATTTTGCCTAATCCATCTGATCCTGTGGAAAGCCGATATGCGGGAAAGCTCAGGAAGTTTACTAGCTATTGATCATTGGCTGCTTATCTCCAATATCTTGCAGTAAGTGGACTAAAGGCTATATTTACGGTCACATTATCCGCATTAGGATTTATGTTGTAAATCCTAAATGTGAATGAGCTTGTAATGTATGATTTATAGGGATGTAACGATCGATACAAATATGTGACGATTCAAATCGGTTGAGATGTTAAATGAATCGCGATACAGTTGGGGGTGTGAGTTGAATGTATCTCTGAGGGGAACTGACTGTCTTTAGAAAAGTCTAGATGGTATTTTCTTTTAATCTTGCCTCTGTATAATGTATATTAATGTAGCAGCACTGGTTTGTTTACAGTGGAAACCAAGGAAACGTTGTATCGCTGCTGTTCCATAAGCGCCACCTGCTGTCAGAGAGTGATATTGCATTTCTCGTTCTGGTTTTGCTGTAAATTTTGAAAATATTCATGATGCTTGGATCATGATTGAAATACAGTGGTTGCTTCTCATTTTAAATGAAAGAGCACAGGCAAATCCTTAGTTTGTTTATATAAAGATATTTATTTTGTTTGTATTATTTCTTTATTTGATTTGGGGTTTGTTTTAAAATTTCTATTTAGTTATATTATTCTACATATTTTAATTTCACAAAGAAATGTGCATCATTTTGTCCAAGCAATAATAAAAGGACACTTTTTCATTTATACTGTAATTTTAAATCTCATTATGGTAAAAAATAATCGTTGTATTGTAAAAAAAAAAAATGTATCGTAAAATCAGTATCGTGAATCGTATCATTTCATTAGTTGAGTGACACACATTATACATACATTTTTGAACACAGCATGTTTGAATACTATTTAAATTTTATATAATTTAAAAAAATATTTTTTTCCCCCAATTTTTATTTTTGAACACAGGATGTTTGAATACTATTCTTTGTCAATTTATTTAGCTAGTGGAATGGCATTAATACACTTAAGTGTCTTTTGAGCCCAAACACCTTTTTGGTCACTCTAAAGCCTGAATAATGCTTCATAGCATTGTTCATCTGTTTCTGAGGCGGGTGAAGTAGTCATGGAGGTGAGGTAGTTACAGTAGAAGCGAGCGCTGTATAATCAGATGCAGAACCGAAGATCTTCTCTATTACCTGTCAGCGGAGCACCGCACTCATTCTGACTAGAGCAGCCAAGACAGACCTGGGTTACGGCTCTTCAAAGTAAGAAGAGACGCAATCACCACATGTTAGAGTGAGGCTCAGGAGAGGTGAAGACTCAAGTACTAGCATACCTCAGTTAATTATGCTTCAGCTCTGCCATGACTTCATTGCATTCAAACAAAATATACTGTCTACCACATCTGCAATATCTGAGCTATATAAAAAGCAATAGTTTGTTACATACAGTAATCACACGTATGCAGGGTGTCCAAGGTGAATGCCGTACATCATGCAGATTAAAAAAAAAACCCTGACAGATATACTATAGGGTTTGTCTTTTCCTGTAGCTCAAGATTGTTTAGTGAATATTTTATGCTTGTGTAGTGTTAACTGAGCTGATGAATAATGCATTAGGTAGATTAGGTGAGAGAAGCATTGTTAGCGCACAAGTTTTTCCATAAACACATTAGTCTACATACTATTCTTAAATGAGCTGCTCTTTGGTAATAATGATTGCAGGCTTGACACGCTAGTAATCGGTACATATTACAAAGCTGTACTGAAGTCATTGCTATCACTAATTGGTGCACACAGATGTCATGATCTTGCTTGTAAATCATTATATATCTGGCCAAGTATAGACGTTGTCTCAAATAACTAGCACAGATCATGTCATTCTAGCCAGCAACAACACAAAGGCCATTTACAGAGCTTGTATTTCCAAGAGAAGCACACATCAATATGGCAATGGATCAATGTCTGCCGGTCATCTTGTTGGTGGATGTGTTTAATTAATGACCAAGCTGCCACATGTAATATCATTAGTGCATGATTTCATCCTGTAAATTGGAGTATGATAGAAATCATATTAATTGAAGTGCCACTGTAACCCAGTTCATCAGTAAATTTGCTTCCTAAGCTTCAAATGCTGAATATGAGGGCAAACATATGTTTGTCATACAAATATCCCCATTCTAATAAGATAAGGCCACTGCTTACTTACATAATTCATAGTGAGACATAGACCAGGATAAGAATCTTTTTCCATGAAATCTATATGCATTGAAGCTCTGTGTGATGTAACCCTGTCGTTAGTTGATTTTTGCCTTGAGAAGCAGAGGAAAATTAAGCAAGATGATAATTGCCTTTCAGACTGATGAATCAATGCTCTGCAGCTCCTCACAAGGATTTTCCCCCTCTTCCTGATATAGATAAGTCACATGAACATGATACTGCTGCACTGAAAGATAAAGCCGGTAGTTACGGATAAACTGTCAACAGTAGTCGGTACTGCCTTTAGAAACAATGTGTGTCAGTCAGGGAGAAACAATAATCTATTGTTGAGAAATCGTGCAAACTGGATGAGCATTGGAAACATGCCCAAAAATCTCCTTCTCAAAAGCTGGCTGACTTTATATCACAGTGTGATACATAAACTCTTTTGATTAAAAATACTTGTGGTTTTTATTTCAGTAACAAAAATTACTACAATGAATTCTGGATATAGTATCATTTAAATAACATAATAGTATAATTGGTGTAAAAGGTGTAAAGTTGACATCAAATGTGTCCTCAGCATCAGCATCAAAATTATGTCAAAATGCATACAATTTTTTAAGTGAACGTATATACACTACTGTTCAAAAGTTTCAAAATCAGAAATTTTTAGTTTTTGAAAGTCTTTTATTTGAATAAAAATACAGAAAAAACAGTAATATTGTGAAATATTATTACCATTTAAAAGAACTGTTTTCTATTCAAATATATTTTAAAATGTAATTTAATCATGTGGTTTCAAAGCTGAATTTTCAGCAGTCATTACTCCAGTCTTTGGTGTCACGATCCTTCAGAAATCTTTCTAATATGCTGATCGGATGCTCAAGAAACATATTTTTATTTTTGAGTAAACGGATACATCTCAGCATTTGTTGATGAATGAGAAGTTTAAAAGAGCTGCATTTATTCAAAATCTTTATAAGATTATAAATGTCTTTACTTTGAATAATTTTAATGAATAAAAGTATTCATTTACCATTATATAAAAAAAAAAAAATAAAAATAAAAAAAATAAAAAAAAAAATATAT